AGCATCTCAGGACCTTGCGAAGGCACATGTTCGTCAAAAGACTTACTATGATCGCAAGGCGAAGAAGCGGGACTTAAGCGTGGGTGACAAAGTTCTCGTGCTGCTACCCGCCGATCACAACAAACTGATACTAACATGGAAGGGCCCCTTTACTGTGACAGACAAGAAAAGCCCATTGGATTATGCTGTGGACCTCGGTCACAGAACAACTGTCTTCCACATCAACATGCTCAAAAAGTATGAGCTGCGGAATGCCTCGGACACGTCAACGACGACAGCTGCTGCTGTAACGTCAATCCATCAAGTGGAAATCGAAGGCACAGAAAATTTATTACATGCCCCACTTGCACAAACGCAGAATTGGAAGGATGTGGCTGTAGCACCTAGCCTTAGTAGAGAACAAAGAAACCAAGTCAACGAGCTCCTTTCCGCCTACCACGACATATTTTCTGATTTACCGGGAAAGACTGATGTTGTGGAGTGCCAGCTGAAATTGACCACCGCTCAGCCCATACATGTCCGACAATACCCCATACCTTTCGCTGTTAAAGAAGCTATTGAGAAAGAGATCCAGGAAATGTTACGGCTGGGCATAATAGAGAAGTCTACATCTGCTTATCAAGCACCGATTGTGGTTGTCAAGAAGAAGGATGGCACGATGCGCCTCTGCATTGATTTTCGTCAACTTAACAATGTGGTCGTTCCGGATGCGGAACCAATTCCCCGCGCTAACATAATGTTTGCACGACTTACTGGGCGTCAATACTTTTCGAAGTTTCACTTCACAAAAGGATATTGGCAGGTACCCATGGCCAGTACGTCAAAAGAAGCTACAGCATTTTCCTGTGACTCGGGCCTATACCAATTCAGGGTTATGCCTTTTGGCATAAAGACTGCACCTGCCGTGTTCAACCGATTGATGTGAGAAGTCGTCGGCGACATTCCCAATGTCTATTACTACTTTGATGACGTTCTTATTGCGACCGCAACATGGGACGAACACATGGTCACATTACGCCATGTATTTCAATGTGTGCGCGAGGTGCGTTTGACTATCAAGCCGAAGAAAAGCGAGGTTGGTTCCCCGACGACTAGCTTCTTTGGTCACATTGTGGGACAAGGGCTGCTACAACCTCAGAAGGACACATCAGACAAAATAGTGTCAGCGAAACGGCCGGAAAGTAAGAAAGAGCTTCGAGCCTTTCTCGGACTTACCGGCTACTACCAAGAGTTTGTGCCCAACTATGCCTAGCTTTCACAACCACGAGCTCACGAAGAAAAGAAATCCTAATAAGCTGGACTGGCGTGACAAGCATCAGGATGCATTTCAAAAGCTTAAGTCAATGATGTCAAGGCGACCCATACTGAAAGCACCTAACCACGAAAGGCCTTTCGTATTGCGCACTGACGCGTCATCACGGAGTTTGGGAGCTGTCCTCCTACAAAAACACAATGGTCTCTTGCATCCAGTGTCCTACGCCAGTAGAAAGCTGCTACCGCGTGAAGTGGCACATTCTACAATTGAGAGAGAATGCCTCGCCATCGTGTGGGGTGTCCAGAAATTTCATGTGTACCTCTACGGCAGGCCATTCGTTTTGCAATCAGACAACCAGCCACTGAAATACATCAACTCTGCCCGACAAATCAACACACAAGTGCTACGCTGGAGTCTACTTTTGATGGACTACGACTTCCACGTAGAATACATTCAGGGCTCAGATAATGTCGGTGCCGACTATCTTAGCCGCACATCTCTTACTACTGACTAGGCTGTCCGATTACTCGTATAGACACACAAAGAACTCATGACGCGGGTAATACGTTGTCTACTCTATGAACATGCCTACCCTTCTTATCCCACCGTTTCGCTGTTCTTGAACTGGGGGGAAGATGTGGTAAAAAAACGCTGCCCTGGAGAGTGTGCGTCATGCTTTGACGTAGCAATCGGGTACGGGGTCGATTTAGTATTTCAGGGTGCGCGGGAATCATCATGATGGTGATAGCGGTAAAACTATGAGCTCGCCTATGCGCGTGCTCGTGCGCGTACCACGTGAAAAGCTCCCGAGCCACGGGGACAGCTCGACTAACCCCAGAGAGCAGAGAGCAAGGACAAGTTCGGGCCACACCCCGGCTGCTCGTTCTGACCCTCCGTGTCTGGGCCTCGTCTTGGCGTTGAAGTCCTCGGGTGCGTCCTGGACTGGGCGTCACCCCACCTCACCCCCACGTTGGTCTGAAGCAAGGTTCGTCACGGCCAGCTGCTGTTCTGGTCTCGGAGCGAGACACTGTCCCAGGTCTGTTCGCGGCAGTCGGCGGTACGCTGTTCTCGGTGGTGTACAGGCAAGCCCAGGCGTTAACCACCGTACTGGGATGCCCCTGGCGGTTATCTTTTAGACCGAGCCCCGCGCCGGTACGAACTCCGCAAGCACAAGGCACACCGCCTTCTGACTACCAGAGAGCTCAAGGTCAAGTGCAACGTTCACGCCCCAAGAGTAGAATGTGAGTGGACGAACAAGAACATTAACTCCCTTTCGCGTAGGACCGTGAACGCGTGTATATATGTGTGAGTTTATGTTGTGTGTATCCATTTGTCCGTCTTCGTGTATATAAAAGTCTCTCGTTGTGCTCGAACGTCCTCTGTTCTCATCTGGCTAACCTGTGCCCACAGTTGCCCACAAAGTCCTATTTGACAGTTTAAGCAAAGCGTGGCCACTCGCCACTGCGCATAGATGTAGCGTTTCATGCCAGTGCAGGATATTGCATTGAGTTCACGTTTCTTGTTAGTGAGTATTGGCAAATCTTGTTGAAATCCACTGCAAAATGCGAAACAACAGCGAGGCGAAGCAGAAACATCGCCAAGCTCTTATGACTCGACTTCACAACAAAACGAGAGGTACATTGGGGGCAGACCACTTGAACAGAAGCACCTGGCATTGCAGCAGACGAAACGTTAAGTGTTCCTCACTGTGCTGTTATTTCCATAAACAGATATTGCGTACTTTTGAGGGCAAAACAATAATGTTTGTTTTGAAATATTGATAAGTATAATTCATTACATCTTGATGCCAAATCTGCAACGCAATGCCAGAGCAATGCAAACCCTGGTGGTTAAATTTGTGGAGGTTTTACTTCCACCACCTAATCACAAAAACTTTTTGCAATAAAGCTTGCATACAAAAAATTAGGCAAGTTTCAATTAAACATAACTTCACATCACTTTGTTTCATACTCAGCCAACAAGCGTCACAAATCTCAAGAACGTGATACATCCGAAGCAGATTCGAAGCCTGTGGGTACAAGTGCCGCTGAAGGAGCCCGCGTAGACACTAGCGCCAGATTGCCCTCTAGGTATTATTGTATGAAACTCTATGCTTCAAGCCCTTAAAAAATATGCATTTTATATCTACTACAGCCCTCTCAGTGTACTTGGCAAAGTGCACTAAAGCATCATGATCGTGGCATCTCTGATTAGTTCCTCCAACGTGTCATTTGTAAGCGTTTGTCTCATTTTGGGCACGTTTCAAATAGGAGTGTGCGCTTTTGTCAACGCCAAACACACCCCCAGGTGACGATCTCACCCCAAGTGTCAGTGTCGCTCACAGCATTCATCCATAGCGAAAAAACAGCTCTGCAACCAAGGAGGTTTAAAAATATTGCTTGAGTAGAAGCTCCCGCAATGCCTTGACAGCCAAAGTGAAGCCATCTTTTGCCCTGAAAATGTGCAGGAAACATGCTCTTTCTTGGTAGTGCTCACTTAAAGATCAAGTGGCTTTGAAAGGTTAGTGTATATGCTACGTTAATTCTATATTAAAAAATAGACCCAATGAAATAACGCAGAGAATCGAGTATGGGTGACTGAATCTCCAATGAACTTTGCCTCCAATCAGTGGTTTATTAAGCAAACTGACCAGAAAACGTTTCTACATTCAACTTGTTGGGTGTGCAAGGGAAATGTTCTGTTTCTTATGGCTGAACGGTCATAGTCTATCATGCCCCTAGTAAGATGGCAGCCACAGCCGCCATCTTACCATAGGCACCCACTCCCGGGCAATAAGTTGCGCTCCACCAATTCATTTTTTTTTTTAACCTCCTTGTCTGCAATGCTTAGAGCAATGCACCTTCTTCGCCTGTTTGTACTAACTCTATGTTCCCTGCTTATGCTCATTCAGCGAAAAATCGTGGCTGGCCAACAGATAACGTGCATTGAGTTTCCCTCTGGTAGGACCGTGGCGTTCAATAACTCCAACTTGCGGCGAGTAGGAAACCTTGGCCCAAGTTCGGTGTCCAATCAGTCGAGTTCTTCTAGCTGTCGCATCGCTTTCTCTGGTTTTGCACTCACCTATGACCACAAGGGTTTGTTAAACATTACTGATGGATGTTAGTCGTCAGGATGGAGGCACATGACTAAGCGTTAACGTGGATGCATCCAGGATAAGCGGTATTATAGCTGTGAGACACCAACAGATATTGCGCAAGCTCTTTCATATCAGTGTACAGTAAACATTAAACTACTTCAGTAAGGACACGTTTTACGTCCATGTTTTATCAATTTCTATGACGGAGAGATCGAAAATGTTTTTTTTTCCTGTGTCAAGCTCATGCTACAACGAACCTTTGAACAGAGGAAGGTTAAAGAAATAGCCTCAATTATCTTGTACAGCAAAATATGTAAAAAATATGTGCAACTATCAATTATAGTATATTATACATATGTACTTTTTAAGACAGTCACCTGAGTATTTTTTTACTGTTCAGTGCACATTTGCCAGTGCATGAACGACGTAGCTAGTTGACTCCCCCCCAACAACATTTGATTTAAACACTCAGCTATATCAAGGCATGGACAAATGTATCATGAAGGTAATTACCAACAAAGTAACTACAATGCTTAAAAACAAAACAAATGTGGCAACTAACTAGAATACACGTTCTAAAAATTACTCGGTGAGAACAGAAGCACATATCTACTTGTTACAAGTGGAACTGGCAACTCAGCAGACAAGTTTAGACAAGTCGTCATGAATATTTATATGTAAAAAATTGTACATAAATGCATACATATATACATCAATTTAAATATTTCATGTGTAAAATTTACACGAGGAGAGGCTCCTCAATGGTGTCCGATGCGGATGATGGCATGTGTCGGTTATCACAGTGCGTTGCCCACGGTGATTTTCACGTGCGAGTTGTAGCTTTTGGGAAGTGCTCTGTACAAAAGCAAGATAAAAAATAGGCACAAAATCAATGAACTGCACTTGAAGCACTGCTCCTACAACTTATTTACTTGATTTGCAAAATGCTACTGCAGGTCTGCATAACTGAGCCCTGATGTGACAGACAGAGGTCCGATGTGCGATAGATGAGTTTTAGGCCCATCTAAAACCTGGTTGTCACTGCTTTATTCAGCCGCTTTAGGAAAACTGAGAAACAGAACAAGTGAGACTACACGTAGCAGCTTGACTGAAGTATATTTACTTACTCAAGGCCCAATTGAGACATGCATCTTTTGGCTCCAGAAATGACAATTATGGCAGCGTAGACGTTGCGTAGTTGGAAACAGCATGCTGAAATGCCACAATTTATACTTTGTCTCAAAAATTCCTTTCAGCACTGTGAACACTATGGCTCCCTTAGGCAACAAAAAGGGCCATTAGCCCCTCCACGTGTATTTATCGGTGCCCCATCGTCTGCTCAGTGTCTTCCTGGCACAAGTAGGGTGAGTAAAGCGAGCAGATGACATAGAAAAAAAAATGACTGCAAACCTCGCAGCTGGTATGCTTCGCTTTAAATTTATCAACTCCTCATTGAGTGCTGTACGACCCATAAGTTAGAAAGCAACGCTTGTTTTGCTTTGGATTAATGTGCTGATGCTTGACAGCAATGTATTCGTGATTGCATAGCGCTTTTCCAAGCACTATTACATAATTCTCGGCGCTTTGGGTTTACTAGGCGTGGCCAAGCAAACAGCTTATCTGAAAAATAGCAACGAAAGGCCTCTGTGTGGGACGGCACAAAGCATTGGCTTGTTACATCATTTATTTGTTGCTGCCAGCACAGTGGGTGAATAGCAAGCAAAACTTTGGATCGAAGCGGGTTGTCGCGTTTGCAAGAACACTGCCATGTAAATTTGTAACCAAAGTTAACGGTGGTTACAGATACAACAGTTAAAACCACATGACATCAAGGCCAAGAAGAATGTGTGTGCCATGCATCGATGTGACACAAAATGTGTCAAACAAGCACAAATATGTGAACACTGCCAAATGTAGAATAATTACATCTGAAACTATGTTTTGCTGTACGAAAATGTGGCTTGATTTCAACCCTTGGTAGTGCTGTGGCCTTATTTCAACCCTTGGTAGTGCAGCCTTGGCAGTGCTAACGGTAGTGGTGAGATGGAGTATAGATGCGAACACAGTTTGTGGCTAGAGGCTTGCTTTGCCTTGTCCACAACCTATGTGCTGATCCCGTGCACTAAAACTGTTTGCATAGCCTTGCAGTGCAGGCAGTGCTAAGTGTGCTTCGGATTTAGTGCAATTCAGTTGTCAGACTTCAGCACGGAAAACCAGCGACAAGCCATCTTAATCAGGCGATGTTTCACTGAATGCCAGAGGCATCAAACTTTGAGATATCCTATTTCACTTGTGATCAAGCTTGTAACATAAAACTGCAGCATCAATTAAACACAAACCAACTGTAATTTTTTATACTTAAGTAAATTGCAGCAGGCAAAAAAAAAAGAATCTTAAAGAAAAATGCGTACCACATTTTCCAGTATGCTTTTTCGCTCTCGGGAACAGATCCCAACTCCATCTGAAAAAGTTAAAAAACAAGCACATTAAATTACATTAGCCTAGACACATCAGTATAACTGCATTACAGCTAATTAGAACAGCAAACAATACAAGAACAGCATGATATACCAGGAAGACAGAGCCTGTGTTCATTTTATATCGCACAATTTTTATGTGGGTGCCTGCCCTAAAAGGCTAGAATGAAACATTACTTCGAACCCAGAGCAAAAATAAAATATATAGTGAGAGAGCCTGAAGTGGAGGCCACAACCACGGCGGTAAAATAGGAGAGCTGGCCAAATGGTGCCACTCTGCACAAGGTGTCAGCAGGGCTATCCGGGCCCATTTTAAAGAGAGCGACAATCAGCCAGAATGAGCGATTACATGCTAGTAAAAATGAAAAGACCAAGAAATAAAGTGACAGATTATATCATTCTTTTCGCGGTGTGACTAGGATTTGTATGCTTCAGTTTTGTTTAAAGTAACAAAAAGCGTTGCAGCGCGCAGCCTAGAGGAAAAGCCGTGAAGCTGAATTCTGGAATATGCAGCCGTGTTGTATGATGCTGTCATGCACCAGTCCTCAAAATTAGAGTAGGCATACTACTATCCTGCCCCGCTTCATTCTACAGTGCTTACCACGTAAAAGGAGTTACACGGTAAGAAGCAGCGTCACCGTCGTGGACGTCAACAAACCAAGTCAAGCCGCGGCACATGCGCAAGATGCCACCGCAAGCGAACAAGCGCTCACTGTTTGCAACATGTGAAATACGACTTTATGTTCGCAGTAAAAAGAAAAATACCGATTGCAAATGTTCTGTGGCGTTTCCTGTATTGCCATTTTGCAATTAAACTCACTGACCCCCTCAAAAAATTGTTTACAATAGGCACCATAAAGATTGGTTGTCGGTCCCTTTAAGTGCGCAGCACTTCAGGGGTTCGGCTTGTCATCCATCCGTAGTACATTTCATGCGGCGTGGTCACACTCGCAGTAAAGCACTGAATACAGGCCACAGCAAGACTTGCAATGCTCAAACCAGGGTTAAAAATGAACGAACAAGATACAAAATTACGTAATTAACAGAATGGTTAACGAAAAAGTAACCACATTGTTGGCACTTAAAATCGATGAAACGTCTCATAAACATAAGAGTGACACTGGCGTAGCACAAGAGAGGACACCACCGCCATGCAGACTGGGCGAATATACCCCTTTCTACTGCGCCGACGCTGCACCGCCAGAAGGCCACATCTGATGGGGGAACAACCTGACGGAGCTCGCTGCAAACGATGCGTATCTTAACTGCCGTAACGAGCAGGAAGTCGACAAAGCACAGCGAAAAGTAACCCACATGTCGCACACCGAGTTTGTGAATCTGCCTAACAAGATTCTACTCGTGCTGGGGAAATCCTAGAGGCTTACCTTGGCATCATTGATGCTTTGGTAAATGATAGGCTTGTGCGAATATTCGGATGCATATTATTATTTTCGAATTAATTTCATTTTAATTGATACTATTTGAGATTACAAAGTATTCAAAATGAATGAATAGATGTACTAGTAGGGTAGGGTGAGGTAAAATGAGACAAAAATTTTATTATAGTGAATATTTATTTTTATTTCACTCCTCACAATTAAACATCAATGCAGAAACATTCCTTTGGGTACAAGGTATGTCCTACGTAAATATTGCCATGAAGCCACCAATCAAAACACAATTTTAAACATAAATAAATAATGCTCCAGACGTCTCATTTTGCCCCAACCTGCGGGGCAAAACGGGATGCTGTGTGGGGCATAACGAGACAGTGTGAAAAAAATCACTTCTTCAGTTTTTGCAGTAGAAAGACTTGAAATTCACTCTGTGGACCCCTATGCAGCTTCAAGGAGCCCAGTCTTTGGACTACAGGCATTGAATCTAGACAAAACGTGGTGCTTTGTTTCTACAAAACTCCTTGCACATCAAACATCGCCAGTCCTTCTTCATGCTAATGTTGCCTTTTGTTGAATGCTTACAGCTCATTGGATCATTCAACAAGTGGATGCTACATATATTTTGACATATCTTCTTCACCTCTCTATGCCATTTCGACACAGAACTGCTCAGGCGTTTCATGGTGTTAACATTGTCCGCTGGGTTTTATGAGGCAATGAATTTAAAACTGTGCTAGATTCAAATTTTTTAGCACTCTTTTTTTTTCAATTAGGCTATTGCAAAAACATCGTTCAAACTCAATCCCAAAACATGTTTGTGAGCGACTTGATTTGAGATTCTGCCATTTTTTATACATCTCTTGCGAGCATCCTTGGGAACACAGAAAAAGCTTGATGCAGTGCAATTCGAGGGAGCCATGTCCTGAACAGCATTTAGTGCTTTTTCATGTCCTTTTCCTTCCAGGAAGCTCTATACCACAATCTTTTGTATGTTCAAACCCTCCTAAACAATGATATAAAAAATTGAAAAAAAAATATTCACTTTGTGCATGGGCACCACAAGAACTGAACTTTTGGTGCTATGTAGCTCGTAGTTTAAAGTAACATATTAAATATTTATGTTACTGTTCTTACGCAGGAGTAACTTCATGCGCAAATTCAAAAATTTGGGCAACCACAATTTTGCCCCATTTTGATGGGTCATGAACGCACTGACACCAGCCGCGTAATTTTTCCCGCATGAGCACTGTGAGCAATAGTCGAGTTTTACATATGAAAAAGTAGACAACGACCAGCACTTATCACTGGAAAAGAGAAACAATAAAAAGTAGTTTTTTTGTTAGCTACAAAGGCCAGCAAAGTCAAAATGTCGCGTTTTGCCCCGCGTCTCATTTTACTCCACCCTACCTTCCATCAGTCGGCATGTAACCCCACTATAAAGGTCGTTTCACTATAAAGTCCGTCCGCCCGTCCGCCCGCCCGCCCGCCGCCCGCCCGCCCGCCCGCCCGCCCGCCCGCCCGCCCGCCCGCCCGCCCGTCCATCCATCCATCCATTTACGTTTACATTTCATGGTCTTGTAGCCCTTGCGGTGGTTTCGTTCACATGGCATGTTGCAAAACTGGTATGGCATGACATGATTGCATGGCAGACATAAGCGACAGACCTTAACATGCAAATCATGATATGCGTGTCATGTAACAACATGACTACATGCCACGCTCATAATGCGCTAGCGGCCGCTTCGCTAGCATAACATATACCAAGTTTGGTATTACCGTTTGTGAAGGTCATCCATTCACGTACGGTATGTGACTGGTGCAAACACGATAATCATGAGATGCATGTCATGCTATGCTCATTATGCGCTGACGGCCAATTCACTAGCTTCACTTATACCAAATTTGGTACAATTTGGTTCATTTTGTCGCGTCATGCCGGCATTGCCACGCCAAGCGCCGGTCCTGCCATATACTCGCAGGCACGCGCCGCGTTGCGTTGCTTTCATGCATGCGCGTTTCAAGGCGTCCGGCATCTCTCCGACACGAAAATAGGGAGACGCAGTGTTGTGCATAGAGTAACATAGTAAACATGTGTTGTCTGGGTAATGCATTGGCATAGAGTAATATTACTCTATGGAATCGGCGCAAAATGCAGCATGTCGCATTTCGCGCCGGTTGCGGTCGGGCCGTGCCAACGTATGCTGGTCGCGCCTGGCGTCAGACTATAGAGTGCTCACGTTTTGTTAACGTAGCGTCGCTGTGCCCAGCCTGCGCACGCGTAAACACTACATTGGAGTATATTGGGCTGTTCATGATGCGCTCGCGGCCATTTTGCTAGCTCCGCACATGCTAAATTTGGTTTTACGTGACGTCAATGGATGATGAAATATACGACTGGTGCAAACATCATAATCCTGACACGCGTGTCATGTAAGAACATGAAATATACCACGCTCATAGCGTGCTCGCGGCTGTTTCACTAGCTCCACATATAACAAATTTGGTATCACGTGACGTGAGTAGATGACAAAAGTAAACGACACATCCAAAGATGATAATCATGACACGGAAATCATGCACAGCATCATTAACCTTCACCTCATAACGTTGTGCAGATTTTAAAGTGACATATCAACATTTCTCATTCATGCTTCGCATATCATGGATTCCCACTGTATGTGGGATCCGGCAATTTTTTTTTAAGTTTAAAAGCTTGTTATGTCCGCCCATATGATCTAAGTATAGTAAATTTGAGAATGTAACATGTATTTTATAGGTTATAGCACTTGCATTCTAGCGATTGTAAAATCCAGCTACTATTCAAAGATGCTTCAACTTGCTTTGGGCCAAAGAGAATGACATTTGCACATGTCTTGTTTCAATTAAGAAAAGACATTGTGAAGGTTAGCTGGGTCCTGGCAAATATGCTTACTTTTTTTTATAACATGTAATAGGTACAATTCAAATTCAATTCAAAATTATTGTAACCAAATCAGTATTCTCTTCGAATTGACACCCAACCTAAAATTTACTACCGTATTTACTCGCGTAATGATTGCACTCGCATAATGATCGCACCTCTAAATTTTGTCGTCTAAATTCGACTTCTTTTTTTCCCCGTGTAATGATCGCACCCTGAACTTGCCGCATCGACATGTCATGTGCGAAGTCTAGCTGAACGCGCCTATCATTGTTTCTGTGATTTGAAAGCGGGCATCACTATGCTAATGCCGTAAATTTACTGATTTAAATGAAAGCATTTCTTATTTATATGGAAGAAAGTGTTCTCACGCGTGTGACGTACTCACAACCTCCATAACTGACGCAAAGAAAAAAAAAATGCGGTGGTTTAGCTTCACGGAGTGCTTCGCTCCGTCAGCCGCCATGTTTGTTTTGACACCCACACTGTTACAGCGGCGGCCGCCTGTTGGTTGACATGTGTTCATTCCGCAGCAATGTTTTTTTTTTCCTGAGACCACTTTTTTTTGGTGTGCTTTGTGATCATCTGTTGAAGCGCCGTTTCACCATGGGGCGGTATGCGAGCTTTACTGCCGCGTTCAAGCTGAAGGCGCTTGACTACGCGCTAG